ACTATATGTCACCTCATAATTGAGGTGCATCATAATTGCTGATTTCATCTCCATACTGTCATCATGGAATAGGTATGCCTATCAGAAACCTAGCTCTGTCACTCCACACATAACATTAAGACATTCTTTTTTTTAACCACAGTTTTCTTCAAGAAGCCTTAGTGACCTAGCTCACATACCATGCTATAAATCATATGAATGCAATTCACAGTAGCTAGCCTTATATATCACATACAGATAATGGTTAAAACAAACCACAATTTAGAGTTTAGGGATGTGTGTACCCAACCTCTGTGTCTAATGTTGATTGACCATTACCAATAACTAACCCTCCAAAGGCATATGTTCAGCATGAAAAGTTATTTCTTGAAATTCTTCCCATTATTTCACCCTAGAATTAGCTACTGTATTTTACCGAAACTCCAAATAGGCTTTGGTACATAAAAGCATTTCTCAGTTCACAGAAAAGAACTTTCTGATTTCTTTTTTGCTTTTGCTGTAGTTGCATTTCCCCAGGCTGCATTGAATTACTTACTCTGTATGATTGTCTAATGTTTTAAGAATTGTTTTATAGAAGATGAAAAAAATGTGGAGAAAAAAATCTGACTTTTTACCTGTAATTCACTCTGTGCCACTGAAGAACGGTTGTATTTTTCTGTCATACAGATACACTCTTTCAAACATAGACACATCATTTGAGGGAGCATCAGAAGATATGACAGTTGTGGATGCTGCTTCCTTAAGACGACAGGTATCTAAAGTGCTTCAGCTATTATAGCTATGACCCTTACATAATATAGTTAATTCTGTACTTATCAGATAGCAAACGTGAGGTGTAGGGGACCAAAATTACATTTGCATTAACATTTAGAAGTGTATTCATATTTGGTAGTGCAAATACAGATTATCAGTTGTGGTACAAAATTGTTCTCTCAGCATTCTCAGTTTCTATATTAATAAAATATAGGAATGTCCCAGCACAAATGTGAGTAGCAAGATTTGAAAAGGAGATCCTGTTGGGAGGATAATTTCAGGTTATATTCTTATGTTTTGTTTCAAGCTGCTGAATGAATTGAGTGCTCGTTTTACTTGTATTAAGATTCATTTATACATTTTATGTAGTGGCATTATTCTTCATATACTGTAAAGCTTTTTGTATTATTCATTGCAAAGCAGTTTTCAAATGAATCTAGAAAAAGGGTTGAGCTGTAAAACCAGAAAGCTGTACCTTTTCAAAAATGTTTAAAATTAAAAGCCAAGAAAAACTTTCAAGATTGCAACAGTTTTTTGCATAGTAAAGAATGTAAAAGGGAGCAGTGTGCTAATGTTACATCATGCAACAAGACTGCACTAGCTCCTGGCAGTAAAAGGGATATACGATGGAACATCAAAATAAAAAATGGATAGTGAAATGCCAGAGATTAAAATATGAATTTGTTAATATAAATATGGAAGATGAAAGCAAAAATAACCAAAATTCCCAGTTCTAAAACTCTGAGGGCAAGAGAATTGTCTTACTGAAAACAAGTCTGTTGGTTGAGCAGTAGGCTTCCAGGATTGAAGTCCTACATTAACAGAACCTATTTAATCATTCAAATGGCTATGGCAAGTATTAATATTTATTTTTCTTTTTTAGATAATAAAACTGAATCGCCGCCTACAACTTCTGGAAGAAGAAAATAAAGAGCGTGCTAAAAGGGAGATGATCATGTATTCAATTACTGTAGCTTTCTGGCTACTAAATAGTTGGCTTTGGTTTCGGCGCTAAAAATAGCCTCTATATTTAAAAAGATCTGACAGTGAGGAAATACAAAAAAAATTACAAAGCCTTTTTTCCTGTCTCTGAATTGTATGGTGACTTATGAGCCGTGCACTGGAAACTTCTGCCACTGTAAACAACTGTAACATATTACAGTGTTAAAAGGATGCTTGGACATTTTTTTCAAATTTATTGTAACATTCTGTTTTTCTTCTTTTGCATGATAATGTACATTTGAACTGTGTTATTTTGCAAGGGGAAATGGTTCTACCCTGTGAAGGCATCTACAGACAATTCTCTTGCATAGGAAGACAAACGGATTTTTCAGATAATCTACAAAATGGCATAACTTTCAGTAGGTTTCTCGTTGTTTTTGCATTATTAATTACAGCACCTTTATTGTTAACTTTATTGCACTTGTTTCGTTTTAGCCAAAATTTTTTGCAGTAGTTTGCCAGATGAAAAGGCATCCTAACTTATCTATATCTCTCAGTCTGGCACGTGTACATATTAACTAAAAAACATTATTTGCTAGAATGTCAGCAGATTATCCAGAGGTATGTGTAAAATGTATTTTAGCTTTAATTTTGCCTTTTTTTTTTCCCTAAAAAATAAAATTTTAAGCAAATCTGTTTGAGTGATTTAAAGATTATGGAACAAAGTACCAATAGTAGTGTAATTCATAAAAGTAAAGAAGTGGTAATTTCTTATCATTGCACTGAATTGTATTCTTTGTTCTTTGGATATGTGGAAACTTGCATTTGGAAGTGCTTATCTTTCTATTTTGAGTTAAGACATGTTTTATTTCTTTAGTTCAACACTGCATCTCAGATCACTGTTTTCTATTTAAGTGGTTATTTTCTTGTTTGCTCTTACACTTTCACTGAGTCCAGCCATTTGCACATACTTTATTTTCCTACAGTAATGTTCATCCTGTGTTTCATTTTAAAAGTTCTACTTTTTTGGAAAGTGATGTAAAATAATAAAATGTTGACATGAAAAGCATTTGTGAACTGTGAAAAACAAAGCCTAGTCCCTAAATAATTTTTATGATTAAAGATTAGATAAGATGAATGCCTCGCTTAAATGTTTAATGATGTTAAAATACCTCTGTAATGTCTGCCAAAGTACTGTATTTCTATCGCATTTTTGTGGAATTGTTAGGGGCCTTACCCATGGATTAAAAAAACAAAACAAAAAAACCTTTCATTACTAGTGAGATCTGCATATGGGAGATATGCCTGAGCCATGTAACTTGTTTTTCTCCCCATTAAGGCTTAGGGGTAAGAAATCAGAACGTTTCATATCTTTTGAACCCCTGTAATCCATCTCTCTTGGATATGTTTGCTGGGTTAGATGAGAGTTGCAGTCCAGAGCCACCATGTTACCTACTGTTAGTTTGGATATACCAGTCTGGAACTTAAAAACTTCACAACAGAAATAGAAAAGGCAGTTAACTCCTTACTCAAAGAAACAACTTGAGTTTGGTGCTCTCTAGTGTAATGATACTATTCTCTCATCTGAGCTATGATATTGACTTTTGGTTTGCAGAATTAGAATCAGTCTGCAGACACTGCTTGCAACTGAGACATGGAAAAAATGGGTTCTATTCAGAATAGTTACAGTGGTACCTCGGGTCACGAACTTAATTCGTTCCGCGACTCTGGTTGCGACCCGAATTGGTCACGACCCGAATCAAAT